CGCGTTCTTGTACGCTAAAAAAATGTCGAGCGCTTTTAGTATCTTCCGCGTGGTTTGTTGCTGTAGTGTAAACGCACCCTTAACGTCGCTGAACCACTAGAACTCGGTGAATCGTCAGCTGTACAAGCTCGCACACTTACTCGACTCTAACCTGTTAACCACTTTTTTCTCTACTAGAAGTGCACTACAACTAAGCACATCTTAGTTATAACGGTAAATTATAAATATTCGCGAAATGTCTAATCTCATTTCACAAGTACCAATAACATTACAGTTTGCCATAGTAATTCTATTGATCAAACTTCTGTGAGAACTGAAAATAAGATTATTTTTGAAATGTCAAAGTAGTAGTTGGTCAAACAGGCAAGTCTTTGTTACTATTGAGAATGTACAATAAAATATTTGGAAGTTATGCGGGAGAGGACACTAGCGCCACCTTCGTTCGTTTTATTTTTTCTTTTAAATCGTATAGCCTTGGAAATGTCCAGGAAATATGATGTTTAGATGAATTGATATCGTTTTAAACTGAAAATAAATATTTCAATTTTTTTTTTTGTTAGATTGTTTCGAAGATTCGAAAGAAAAATTATTATTTGGCTATTGCGTTTAGTATATTCAGCAAAACAAAGAATGAAACTTTTTCTTTTATTAAGGAAGTACTTTTCTCCTGGAATATATAAAATAAATTTCTCGAACACGATTCGAGTTAAAATTACCGGTGTTCCTTTTAATCGTTTCCTCGATGAACTGGTTTCCGCTCGAAGCTCCGTTTCAATTTGCACAGTTAGATTTGCGCTCGCCAATATTTTCTACGTAAAATCGCCGCTCGAGGAGAAAGTAGCGTGCCCGCGTTTAGCATTGTTACTCCGTCCGATGTTAGAGCAGTTAACAAACATGGGGGGCACGTGATGCAACGAAACTCGTTGTGCAATTCCATTAGAATTATTTTGCATGTTTGCTTATAGTTAGAAACGCAATATTTCCATCCAAATGCTCTTCCAATGTTGTTTTCATCATCATTATTATTCGTGATTGACAACTTAGATCTTTCCGAGAAATACTTGCTCATTTGAATAATACAAAAATATAACTTTTATAACTCGTATTAATATAGCTAGCAACAATACATCGTTCCTAACTAAACGATTTGCCCAGAGTTTTATTTTTGGAAACCAAATGAAGATAATAATAAGTCGAATTATCAGTATTAATGAAACAATTAAAATTCAACGAAAAATTCGATTTTCTTTTTTAAATTATCGATTGCGGCTTAAACAATTTTACAACAGTAGCGATCGTTACAAATACGAAATATTTATTATATATTGTTTTTATTCGTTAAAACGTCATTCATTTTTGCAGTACTTTGTCTCGCATCCGTCCTTTATCCTAAAAATTCCATTTCTAGTTTTCAGTCTCCGAGTCGTTTGTTGTTCCTGATCCCACAACCTTTCCTCCCTCCTCGATCTGAAAGTGATCATCTGCGAAGGACCTCCCATGTTTCTACGCCACCCTGTATCCAGTAACTAATCCCGTCGACCTATTGTCGCGATTCCAACGCGTGGATAGCGATGGCCGTTACGAAGTTCTCGCATCGAGTTTACGAGTAACGCGATAAACCTCTTAGATCACCTCGTACAAGGTAAATGTGCGATCAAATTAACGTGCTTCACCAGTTTCATTCTTTTCGCGCGCAAACAGTATACAGGTTGTCCCAAAAATGTTGGAGGTCCTTGAAAGGGGTGGTTCGGGACGTGATTTGAAACAACTTTTTCCTTTGCAAAAATGTCGGATGGGGCTTCGTTAAGTAGATATTAATAAAAAACGACCGACCAATCAGAGCGTGCGGATACCGTTGGAGCGGCCGCGGTAGCGAAGGCTTACGCGCTGAGCGGCCGCGTCAATATCCTTCGATGCACGTCGAGTCACTTGTTCGCGTACGAGAGCGGCTACCTAGCGCGTAGCCATCGCTATCGCGGCCGCTCCAACGGTATACGCGCGCTCTGATTGGTCAGTGTTTTCCGTTAATATCTCCTCAACGAAGCCTCGGACAACAATTTCGCTAAGGAAAAAGTTGTTTCAAATCACCCCCTGAACCATCCTTTTCAAGGACCTCCAACATTTTTGGAACACCCTGTATATTTGACGATTGAATGGATTCCAATAAAGCTTTATATCTGAGTTTCTGATTCTCTTATTAAGATCTGCTTAAATTTTGAACAATATCTATTTAAAGATAACGATAGTTACCTTTTGCAGTTTTCCAATTTTTTATATATAAATTCGTTATTTGTGAAAATTGAAAAAATTCTTTTAAATGAATCTTGACGAGAATTAAATTTTACGTGGAAAAGTTGAAATAAACTTTTTCTCTATTTTCTCTGATAGAGCTTTTAGATGCATCCTTCTTGTTAGATCGCTGGGTGCACCGCTGTCCATCTTTGTTTGGCGCTGTATCTCCGCGTCATAGAAAATTTAATGAAAGCACCTAACAAACTAAAACCCGCACGAATGGAATGCGGTAGTTTCTGCTTGACAAATTCTAAAGAGGAGGAAAGAAAGGGAAAGAAAAGCGCAACGAGCTACTTGTACATATTACGGAATATCGCGACGAGCAACGAGGGTGTAACGTTGCATCATTTTTCGCGAAGAAGAACGCGTCGACGACTGTTGGAAACGGGCCAACCCCGTGCCGTTTCCGTTTACATGAAACTTTGAGCCACATGTTCGCCTCGATAGTATATACAGGCATGTCTCGTTAAAAACAGACCACCTTAATATCTTCGCTATCTTAACCTACTGAGGAACAAATTGCACAGTTTAACCAAATTAATTGCTACAATTCAAAATGGCTGATACAACATGGCGGATTCAAAGTTAAGAAACTGCCTGTTCACTGTCAGCGAAACTGAAGTCAACTTCAGACTTAACATTTAATTTGATCTAAATAGTGTTCTAAACGCAAATATTTCGTTCACCGTAATTATTAAATTCTTTTATATAAGTACCATAGGGCCAAATTAATAATTAGATATTTCTCAATATAAAGCATAACACTAGTCCGCTGACAATCAAGGTGGCACGTTTCTATCAAGACACCCTGTATGTGGCAGCGTCTCGCGCTTTCTAACTCGCGAGCAATTTTGTATCGTTTCTTTGGGAAAAACATCACGCTCGAAGAACGAGCTATAGTTTGAAAAAAAAAAAAGAGGAAAAACATCAGTCTATAGTCAAGGGGACGAGCAACAGTTTCATCCCCATAGAAAATTGCACGAGCGTGATGAGATGAACGTTAGGGTATCCACGTGATAGCCGTTGCATTACTCCCTGGCTTCCCCTACGTAATCGCGATATCGGTTCAATGGCCATGCGAAATTAACTTTCTCCGGTGCGCAGCTCCGCCAACGAGAACTGTATTAGCGCGTAGCGATGTCCTCGAGACGCTTCGAACGCAGTTTTCCGTTGTAGCTGGAATTAGAACTGGGGCATGGACTACTCGAATTTGTCTGGATTCGAACGTTCGATCGAATATAATTCTGGTACTATTCGAATGTTTGACTGTACGAATACTATCCAGATAATTGACTATAACAATACAATTCGAACACTTGACTACAGATATACTATTCGAATACATGACTATACGAACAAGTCCATTCGTACCATCGGAGCACGTAGAAAGTCTTCAACAATTCAAATAATTCCCAGCATCTAACTCGATACTATCAGGTTGTCCAGAAAGTTCGCGCCGATTTCTAAGAAAAATTCAAAAACACGTTTGAATTTTAATATATATTTATTGAATTACATAGGTGCCATTTTGTTCCACAACCTTTTCACTTTTTAAGGGATGTATACATATTATTTGTTTTCAACCACTTCAATGTATTCAGGCCTGTACCACCTACCAAAAATCGACATGGACTTTCCGGACAACCCAATACCCTCATCTTTTCCCAAGTCTGATCTTTAATCTTTCCATCTGTATCATACTCAACGACAGTCCAGTTTCGACTAATATTTGCCCTGACCATAGTCCTCTCAAAGACTGACTACACCATTCAACCCAATCCTCCTCTCAATTCCTTCCAATTCTGTTCTTCCACTCTTCTCACAATCTCAAACATTCCATGAGTCACCGTACACCTCTATATCGTCGCAGGTTGTCTACTGATTCCGGACCACCTTTCTCACTCTTCGCGATTTAAACTCGACGAGAACGAACCGTAGGGGCATTCGTCCGCTGACAAAAGAAATTAAGCGAGTCACGAGAAGTTCGCGTGGGCGAGGCTTGAATAGTTTTCCAACGACGGACTCAGGGAACCAATACCGGTGTTCCGTCGCGCAAAAAGACAATGCTGCGACCTTAGCGGATATGGTCAGACCGTGTATTCCTCGAGGATGCCCGGTTCGACGGTTTTTTCCTCGAGGATGGCCCCCATCTTTCCTTCTCTGGCGTCGATGGGCACCTTGTGCTCGCCAACGTTACCCCTTTGTCTCTCACCGTCGAAGACTCGATCGCGTACTTTGGTTCTTGCTTTCTTTCTGTAAAGTTAAATAGAATCTTTAATTTCGTACCAATGTCGATTTAATCTGGATAATTTCAGGTTATCGAGAGGGGCGCGTAAAGGGGGTAATTTAGAATCTATGTGAAGATTGTGATGTACCATTCACAGAAACAATTTTGTTGGTGTTTTGGGTTCAAAATTTAATATTACTTGAAAAACAGAGCTGTATATCTAGTATCATAAGAATCACTCGAAAGGAAAGATGTATATTTCTACCTCTTCTTATAAACTTTGATGGTTTCATCTCCTAGATATGAAAACGGACCAATGTAAATATAAAATTTCTAGAGAAATAGTGGTGAGAAACTTTTCCAAGAGATGAAATTAATTCCTATCGACGATAAATAATTGGAACGCAAAATCTTTATTTAATATTATTTCCTCGTTGACTCTCTGGACCTCGATCCCTCTGACTGGACGATCTCCTTTCAGAATGCAGTAAACATGCCGTCGTTGCTGGAAGCGCTGGAGCTGAAGTACGGCAGTTCAACGACCGAGTGCTCCCTCACGGACGAGGAGACGGAGTCCAGCTCGCCGAAGGCCGCCCTCTCCGTCAGCATATTCATCCCGAAGAAGTCGCCACGTCACACTGTCCCAGCCCTGCTGGTGCTCCAAGACTGCGACATTGAGTCGGCTGGAAACGACGCCGAGAAGTTGCGAAACAAATGCAAGAATGTCGAGGAGCTCGACCTGGCCCAGAATAAGCTCTCCCAGTGGACGGAGGTGTTCGAGATTCTGCAGCACATGCCCAAGATCAAGTTCCTCAACCTGAGCTTCAACTGCCTCGCCGAGGTCCTCGATGTCAGACACGGGAGCTACGACCACCTGAGGAACCTGGTGCTGAACGGCACACGGGTCTCCTGGTCGACCGTACAGGGTCTGGTGAGGCTGCTACGCAACCTCGAGGAGCTCCATCTGTCCTTGAACGAGTACAGAACGGTCGATCTGGAGCACCAGAAGTCCGAGAACGGGAACGACTCGGTGAAGAAGCTTCACTTCACTGGGAATCCCGTGGAGGTGTGGAACGAGATCTCCAAGCTTGGCTACGTGTTCCCTAATCTCGAGAGTCTGGTGTTAGCCGAGTGTCCTCTCAGGTCGCTCGCGTTGGTCGACGACAGGAACTCCAACGACGAGGAGACCACCACGTGCCCCGGCAAGGACCAGGAGAACCTTAGCGAGGACAATGAAAATATGAACAACTTGGAGGCTGACGAAAACGTGGACGAGAAGGGGAACAGGATATACGCCGAGGGCAAGGTCAACTATGACAGGTCGGTAGTTGGGGGATACGCGATTCGTGATTAATGGTTGATGAGTAGACTGGGATTGTTCGTGCGGCACGTGAGATATACATACGGTAGATGTCTTTTGTCCGCGTAAAATATGCATATATGCGGGAAACGTTTGCGGAATATAACGGGAGTATACGGTATAAATAAAATAATAGACATTATATGTTATGCATAACGTAGTACAATATGTAATGTATTTATACATGTATATTTTATTGATACATGGAGATGGCAATATAGTATGCAGTACAGATGACGATGATATAGTTACGAATGATGACGAGAACGTTGTATTATAATAACGATGATGTAGTATGTAATATAAACGACGATGATAGCAATGTGAATGACAACAACGATAGGATCTGTGCGATTTTAACCTATCCTGCACATTTGCATGGACATTCGCATTCAATCAACAAATTCCCAATACTCGAGACTAATAATTAATAAGCAATCATGCACGATTATCTCTGGGAAAATTATGCGTTAACCTTTTATGATTGTAGAGTGCAAATGTAGTTTGTGATTACCGACAGGTCCGAGTCGGAATCGGAATCCAGCGGGACGAGCGTCAGATCCTCCCACGATCCTTTCAGGAAGCTCAGGTTCCTGAACGTTAACGGCACACTGTTGTCAACATGGGACGACGTGGAGAGGCTGGCCAGGTTCCCCGTACTCAAATCGCTGAGGATCCAGGGTTGCCCTCTTTTCGAGGTGAAAGACCGTTTTATGAGAGATTCTCTTATGAAGTTTCTTTAAAGTTCCTGTGTTTTCTTCAACGACCCTACAACGAACCCCAGAAAGCTAACCCGTCAGAAAGTTTCATTAAAGCTCGCCTGGGTCAGTGACTCTTGATAGAGGGAAAGATCAATACCATCCAGTGAAATGAAATTGTGATTTTTCCTGGGAAGTGGGAAATGATTGGTTAGTTTTCTAGGGCTAATCTTTTTCTTTGAGTTTTCATTTTCTAAGTAAACAAAATTTGATTCTTTTATTATGAAATTCTATAGTAATGAATACTGAGAAAAAAGGTACAAATATGTATCTATCTTCAAAACCAAAAATTCCGTGCGCCACCTGGTCCGAAGGGATATTTTATTTCTGGAATGACGATTGTGTGGCCGAGCAACGAATACGTTGCTTGCAGAGATTTCAAACGAACAGTTCACGGGAACGTTTGACGGAACTAATAAAAGGAACGCCGTTGAGATGCGAAACCGTTACGACAGGTTGATCTAGTATGCGCCACTGGACCTGTTCGTTTTAGCTGTTCTAAAGGAAAATCTTGGCACGAAATCAACCAGTCTCAACGGTTTCCTACGCCTAACTTTCGAAAACAAGCTCTTCAAACTGAATTAGACGCCTATTACGTTTCAACTAGTCGTCAATTTGAATTACAAATAAATATACTTTCAAAATGTTTTGCTATAATTTTGTGAAAACAAAGGAAGAAGAAAAGGAAGACTACTTGTCATGTATGAAAATTATAAATAATTCAAAAGAATTCGAAGTTATGCGAAACGCGACACTAGCGCCACTGCGATTCATAGAGGGCATATGTATTGCTCGGTCATGCTCGATATAAGATATTAACAAGCTAAATTAAGAGGCAGTTTTAAAACTGTTGGTCCTTTTCAGAGTCCTCGAGAGTACACTGAACATGAGAGGCGACAGCTCTTAATAGCCAGACTTCCAAACGTCGAGACATTGAATGGCGGGGGCGTAATATCGTCCCAGGAGCGCGAGGACGCCGAGAGGGCCTTCATCAGATACTACATGGACAAACCGGAAGCGGACAGACCGGAAAGGTTCCGTCGCTCACTTTTCGATCGTACCTTAATGCAAACTCTCCTTCTAATTCTTCCTGTTTCTCCATTTTTCTTAATGCTTTCGCATGTCCCAATCGAGCATGCTAATCGGCTCTTCTATATTCGTATTTTAATGGAATTCAGGCCATCGTGGTTTCGTTTCCATTTCCATTGCGGTCCCAGCGTTTCTCGTTGTCGGTTGACGTCTATTTCAGTAAAACCCATAAAGCTATTCTAGTTTCACGGTCATCGGTGCCGTCGCGACGACGGTAGCGAGACGAACCCTAACTTGACCCTATTCCATCATTTCAGGTACTCCGAGCTCGTGGCTATTCACGGAAAGCTGGATCCGCTGGTACACGTCGACCTGACGCCCGAGAAGAGGGTCAAGGTCACCTTCACTTACGGAGATCTCGTCGAAGTAAGTTCACGAATCACGTACCAGGTGCACCATGACACGTGGAACACGCAAAGACAGGTGTGTCTTCTGTCTGTCCTTGTTCTTAAGCTATAGTCATTTTTTGTGTTCCGTCAATTTTCAGTAACAGCGGCTTAGTGGATATCAGTGTAATGAATTTTAATGTACTATTTGTGTACAATTCAAAACTTCACATTATTGTCATTACTTGGTTCACTTTTGTTCTCACATGTTGTGGTGCACATTGTATATAAGAAGTAAATTGTTTGAATATACCCCAAAAATAATATAGCAGTGACTGCCACTTGTTAGTGATACTTTAAAACAGAGGGAAGGAACAATTTTTCAACCATGCTTCAGCTTGAATTAATACAAGTTTATTTAATTTCTATCATAAATTAATAATGTATATGTGAGATCAGCATGTCGTATCAATATAAAAACAATCCTTTTTCATATTGCAATTCGAGACGTCGGTATCGAGATATAAGTAATAAAACTTTTAAGAGTGTAGAGGCGTCCGCGTGCAGTCAGCCGACTGAAATGCAAATGGCTTCCACTGTCGCATTAGTAAACTTTACTGCTTGTATCTTGGCAACAAAGTTTCCGAGTGCATAGTGGTAAAGGAACTTTTGATTTCTTTTTACACGAGGAATTGATCCCCGCATTTCCTAGACGGGATTGATCGATGCTACAGTATTTTTTGCTCTTATAACCGAAGAATTTGCTTCCAAGTAAATCGGAAAAGTAAATTGATTTTAATTAATTCAAATTTACGATTCTCCCACGGAAACCGATAGTTGGCCCTGACTAAAGGGAAACCTTTCCAAACACCCTCAAAGCCCTATATCTAGAGGGCATAATTTACGTCCGCGCGACCCCAAACACTGTAAACATTGATGGCGCTTATAGGTACGGTCCGTGGACGTGTACAGGACGGTTTTTGAGCTGAAAACCAAACTGGAATCTATGGTGAAGATCCCAGCCAACAGGATGAGACTCTTCTACGTCGATCAGGTAAACCAATTCAAATTGCTACGCTTTATCGGGTATTTTTGTGTTTGCTTTCAGAATTTCTGGTTCCTCGAGTCCCTCGAAAAGCACGAAATCAGGATATAGATAAAATCCCAACAACCTTTCACGCATTTTTTCCGATCCTCGGCACTTCCTGCAAAATTTCTGAAATACATTAAGCACATTAACGATCAGAGGTAAATTATTTCGTAACACATTAGCTGTCAAAATTAACGTGTTCGTAATAAAATTTTGATTACCTTTTTCTTTTATATAAGGTATATTAGGGTGTCTACAGATGGTAGCAGTTTGAACAAGTAATTTATTAAGCAGTGAGTGATACTAAAAAAAAAGATATCAAGATTTCCTTCATCTTTTCCTTCATCCTTCATTTCAGGTAGAATCGGACAGCATGAACAAAATTTTACTATTTTCTCTTTTGATTGTTGTATTCAATTCTGTCATGCAAAAATTATCATTCTATTTTTAAAATTTAAGATGGTCTCCAAATCTCCCTCATGTCATCAACCTAGCTGTCCAAACGAGCTGAAGATTGCCAGTGCGGCCGTCGAGTTGCCCACATTTTTTCAACGCATTGACCATACGATTAATGATTTTAGGAAATGAAGGCGCAGTATGGGCCAGAAGAGATGTTGTATCCGAACAAACAGCTCTATCGGTACAATATTCGAAATGGAGACGAAATCATTATCGATAGTAAGTTGAACCGGTGCGCGTCGGCGTCTTCGACCACGTCTTCCATACGTTCCTGAAGAAGGTTTGCCAGCGAGTCGTCGGACGACGCTAAGCACACCTGATGACAATTGTCGGGATCTGATCTTCATTAACGGATCCACGACCAAGATCGTTGATCGCCAACGGAGAGACTCGGGATTTTTTTACATACATACATAAATACATGTGCCGAGTGAAAATTGTTTTAGCGATTATATATATAATATATATATATATATTTATCATCGATTCTTCAGGGTTAAGAGACGTGCGACTCGCGTTACGAACCGAGAGAAAGGACACGGTATCGCGCGGTAAACGAGCGTGCGATGAAGCTGAGTTTGGATTTACGTAGAATTCGAACACAGTACATATCTTGAACGAGACGTTCTCCTATGTATTCTGTATCATAACGTTTTCACGCTAGAAACTTGAGTCGATACGATAGCCAGAGAACACGCGAACTCTTCGAAGTTCGTCGAAGATCCGCGCCAAACGTTAGCGTAGACTAGAGTCCACATCCTAGCGGGGAAACCGCGAAGTACTTAGTTGAACTAGTAGCTCTAGCTACAAATTGTTTTCCAAGTAGTAGACGTGGCCTGTTGCTTCAGAACACGGACGTTATAACGTTAATTATTGTACAGAAAAAGAGAAACGGTAGAGTGTCGATCATCGTTAACCTTTGGATGACGAGTATCAAAATCATGTAGGTCGTAACGTAGCAGACGAGTTGATTTCGATTGGAAACGAATCGACGCGTGAATCAAGATGGAAACGGAACTTTCGGTCGGAGAGGGACTCACCTATGTTACGCGGATACCGAATAGTGAGATGTTGACTCCAGTTTGTTGATCGATGTTTGATTATACTAAAGAGAACTTGACGAAGGGAACGGTGAGAGTTGAGTTTGATTCGTTGGGGGACTTTTAACTCAGGACAATGCAACGAGCTCGACGAGACGAGAAAAGAAAAGAAGAGAACGTCGAGGCTGCTGAAGAGATTGAACTATTTTTGTAGACCGCAGCCAATTGTATCTAAGAAGACGCGGAACAGGTGGATAAGTGGCTGGGCATTGATAAAAGTATACATGGTATACGGCTTTGTTTCGTTTACACGGCAAAACGTATGCGTGGGGTTATCAGAAGATTTGCTAACTGGATCTGTGAAGAAGGATAGATTAAATTGAGTGTTTAATAGTTATCCCTTTTCCTGTATACTGATCAGCAAAGTTCCTTACTTTTTCGTGGATCTTCCCAACAGTGCCAAATCAGTCCTCCGCGGTGTGTCTTCATCGCGGGAAAGATGACGGAAATCAGAGATGGCCAAATTAGGGGAATAAAGAGGGGGTCATTTTGCCTAGAATGAAGGTATAAGTTCAAAGGGTGAAGATTTGGTACAGTTGATGGCAGGATTAAAACTCATAAATGGGACTTACACAGGGCCTTCCAATAAGGGCACAATTACTAACCTCTCAATTATGAGAAGAATAGTAGCCACTAAATATTTGGAACCTTTTATGACACCCCCACGTATACACTAAATTTGTCCGTTACATTTGGCAAACGAGGAGGTTCTGCCCTTATCCTGGACTAGCTCAACCAATTTGTAAAACCTGAACACGTGTTTTTATTGAATAGCAGAGGCGAACAGAAAGTAAAAGAATAATCAATGGTGCAAGTTTTGTCATGTTTTGTACATTTGTTATCCAGCATAAGGGAGATGAACTTGTATGCTTTCAGGACCGTATAAAATCGCGAATCGTGCATTTTCGTTGAGTACTTAAGGTTCCGAAGTTATCGACACGCCATAACAGCGAATCGAGTACTATTTAGTAACACGATATTTTGCCAAGTTTCTATACTCTTAGGGGATAAATTTACAACCGTCTTTCAACGTGGTATATACAGAAACATATATTATATTGTTTTCTTTTTTTTTTTGTCTGAGGTTTATAAAATGCGCAAAAACGCCAGTGTTCAATCATCCAGAGTTGGACTATTAATTCAATCAACAATGATCACAAGTGACTAAGAATTTATGTAGTCGTTAATCGTCTTCTGGGAATATCTTTTGCCTTGCTTAAACGTGTTCTACGATAGGCCCAGAAATACTTGTTCTCCATACAACTAGCGGTGCCAGTGGTAGGAAGGACAACTATTTCTAGGTTTATTGTGCGATTTACGAAGACACTTGGGGCTTGTATTCTGCGTGCGTGGAAGTAAAACCTTGAAGAGTCACTTAGTGCCTGTCTTTTACTAACGTAACTCGAATACTTATAACACTGCCCTGTAAATACCATGAACGTGCGTACTTCCGACAGACTTAGGTTTTGCGAGCGCGAGACAACTTTGTCGACTCTTCACAGGTAATGCGTCGACCGTATCCGGACTCTGAGCATTGGAATATTTGGTGAATTTAACCCAGATATGACTGAAGTTCTTTCAGAAGGATCTCGAAGTTTTCTAGAATAAAATCTTTAACATATTCGAGAGCAATAAATGTTCTAACACTCTCTCCAGTAGCCGCCATTTTTTGCACTTCTGTGACGACCTCTTGAGAGAAACTTCGCAGATGATACACCCGTTGTATCTTTGGTCTCGAATATACGTTAAGTATATTGTTATTTTGTTTTTATGCTAGATTTATTAGGTTAACGTTTCTTGAAGGACTATTTGGGGAACATCTTTTCCCAATTAATGTTTTATCATGATAGATCCAGAAATGGCTGTTCTGACGATGCGACTAGCAGGGAGGACAACTGTTTTTGGACCCATTGTACCTAAATTACTTCTTGAAATTGTGTTTACACGACAAAATCTTATCCGGGTTGAGGTAGAATTGGTATTTGTTGAAAATTGCCTGGTGCAAAATTTTATAAAAAAAAAAAAGAAAAAAAAAACTGTCCAAAGCAAAGAACAGTATCGATATTCCAGTGCGAGGAACGTTAATGTTCGCGAAAGAGTGAGGTGCGCGATGGAACTGAAGAGAGATCTCAAAGATGAGATTGTGCAACGTGAACATTGTTAATGTTGGATTTCAGGGTTGCCAATAAATTGAAAAGCATAACCCTGAGATTCTCCTGAGCCCTGTACGTGTCTAGTCCCGGAAAAAGAACTCTGATTTATTCTCATTTTCTATGATAACAATCCTTTATTGTGCTGGCGCAAACCTGTACGTACTAACGAAATAAAATCTTTGTACGAGACGAAGGAAATGTTTGAGCACGACCACGCAAGAGCTTTGCTGACCTCCATGTTGTATTTTTATTAATTTATTTCATATTTGAATTATACATTAATTTGATTTGCATTTGAATATAAGTATTAATTAAATTCCTATTCAATTTCTCTTTAATAGATTTAAATTTTAAATTTGAATTAAATCAACATATTTCAGATACAAATTTACCGATAAAATGCGTATACATGTATAATTTTGAATAAGTTTACTCTGAAATATAGAAACGAAGAATGATACTGTGATAAACTAGTAGAAGACTCATTCAACCAGTCGACGAAGAAAGAATTTTGCACAACTCTGCCGCGAGTGCATCGATCGCTTAGCGTCGCGACAACCCTGAGGGCGACGCTGTGCCGATTGCATAGTGTCGTAGAGAATGGAAACGATATACTCCAATAGACGCTCGACCCATCGCCAATAAAACGACAATCGACATAAAAGAAACAATTTTCGAGCAACATTGGATCATGATTATTCTCTATTCATCGTTTCGTTTTTCTTGAAACATAATTGTTACCCATGAAGTTAAATCATATCACCTATCCTCTGTGTCTTAAATGCATCTTACAGGTTCCTCAGGTCTTATCACCGTTCAAAGAATCACTAATGATGGAACTTTACAACTGATCCAAGGAAACAAAAGAAATTTCAAGCGTTTGGTCTCTCACGTCTGAAAGCTTTGCAAAATTTTGTAAGATCTTGAAAATCTTAAAGAATAAATGCTTTGAATGTGCTGCACACTCGAGATCATGATCGAGGTTAGGTTAGAAATAGCTAACTGCGTCTGACAGATATTTAAAAAAAATTTTAAGTCTGAGATTTTTATACGTGCATGATTAATTTATATGTACATTCGCGAGGAAAATAAGAAGCATATTATTCAGTTGAGCTACCAATAGTGATGGAGAACTATTAATAGTACCATCAAGACTATCGATGGTTTTTCACTATCGGAAACTATCGATATCTAACTTTCACTATCGATATTTGACGTGGACTATCGATAGTATTCGATAATGTTTTATTTTGAAACGTGCGAAGTTGGTAAACATTATAGTTATAACACGACTGTATTTAGAGTTTAGAGGAATGCAATTCATCACAAGGCGGTTATCACAACAAATTATTATATCGGAAGGTGTACAATTGATTAAAGTAGTAAAATCTACTTTCGATGAATTAATTTCATACTTTGAGCTCATTTGTTTTTTTAGTCAATGGAAATTACGATCTGTCTACGAATCTGGGAGAATAATCGATTCTACTTTAGCCCTCAGGGGCTGTAGTTATGTTTGATTATAGCTACAGTACGGGTCTAGCAATCCCGAGGTACCCGAGCTATAGATGGGCCAGTATGCCCCAACAGCCTCTTAGCATCGCTAATGCAAGAATTACGAAGATAGTTGTCTATGCAAATGCAAGCGCAAAGCAATGTAAAGCAAGAATTAAATGAATGTGAAAAACGAGCAAATGCAAGACTGGTACTTACGGGTGTCATATTACAATTACATGGTCTTACACCCTTATAAATAAAACTCGCTCAGTGACGCTGGGCAAATAATTTCAGAAAGACGATCGAGAATAAAGGATAAAAGTATCCAAATGTTAACATTTTTAAACAAAAACAAGTGACTAATTTGAAATAGTATTCGATCCAGTTATGTTTATTTTTCATACACCTTTTGGAGAAAGAAACTATCGAAACTATCTGTATAGAATTCAGACTATCGATGGTTTTCCACCACAACGTAGACGCCAAGATTCACTTTTCTGATTAATCATCAGTTTTCCACTATTTTCTCGGATTTATTTTTCAGTATTTTTTTTTTTCCCAGTAAGATCGATCGAAGCGCCGAGACGCTTGTCCACGACGGCGGACAGGGTAAACAATTAACGTCGTCGCGAAATTCTGTTCAATTACACGATGTATCATGCGATCCGGAATAATAGAGCGGCACGAAGTGACAGCTCGTTACGGGGTTCCACCTTTTTCCTTTTACCTTTGAAACTTTACGACTGAGTGGGATCGTGACTAATCCCACCCTAGGGGTGGGGGTAGGGGGGTGCGCCCCTACCATGTCAGTAAATCCACAGGGACGGGTGCATCGATCTCAGAGCCCTGTCTCAGTCTTCTTCGACCCTTGCGTGGTGCCTGACTGGAAACCTGAGAAACACGGTAACACTTGAAAATTTATTCCAAACAAGACAGTGCTATTTTTATCAAATAGCCTTCTGTCATTAAAAAGATAATATGACGGACCGAAACGTACAATGTTATTCATTTTTCGCAAGTATTAATATACGGGTTTCTTCGGAGTCAAGGAATCGTAAACATTACCAAACGTACTTCAAAACGTATCCAAAATATTCTCAAAGGTAAAACCATTTTGCATAAATTTTTTTCTGTAAAAACGAAATATCCCCCAAGTAACACTCGATACTTAGGGCTTCTTAAGGGGTAAAACCACTCCAGAGGCAGAAAAAAAGACCTAAATTTGACAATTTATTTTGGGAGTGTGACAAATATGGTATAGAATTTCTTTTCAGTGGGGTTTATTTAACACGTATCGAAGAACGAAAAACAATTTTTTTTATTGTCATTTTCGTACAAAATGGCGGCGACAGAGCCCGTCGTCGAATACCATCAAGACTATCGATGGTTTTTCAGTATCGGAAACTATCGATATCTAACTTTCACTATCGATATTTGACGTTCTTTCGTGCAACCTAAAGCTTCTTTGAAAACACTGCCACGTGGGGACGGATTTCTCGGCATCTATCAGACTGATGGTATCAGTCATGGAACAAAAACTAAAGGAAATTTATAATCTACATACAATTGGCTTTGGAAGTACTTTTTGTGGAAGTGGCGCACTTTTTAAGCAATGAATCGACTTTTTGCCCTAAAAATGAGCGTTAAATTGTTTATAAAAAGAAAAAGTTTACATTCAATCGAAACACGGCTACGTACTTCCAAAGAAGATATTGTTGTGAAGCTACTGTACAAATTTCAAATCGATCCATGCAATAGTCACTGAGAAATCCGTCCTCTCAGTTTGAAAAAAGTGGTTTCGAGAAAAACGCGTTTGAAGTTTTATAAACACTTTAAACGCGCTCTGAGGCGCTGCGGCAAAATCGATAATTCAACCTTTTAACATTTGTTTTTCACCATAAATCAAATATTATTATTATTTTTATGACCCTAAAGTATCGTTTAACCCTCGGACACTGGGCGCTCGCACGAACGACGGAGCTGGGTCACTATTCAGGGATCGAAATCCAAGTCCATACGCGCTACAAAAGAAGGCTTAAAGTCAAATTTTTATATGCAAATATTATTATCATATTAATAATGCCTCGTAACCAATTGGTTTTGTTAATATTTTGTCCCGAAAACTCCTTCTTTTGCAATAAAGTTCGAAACGTTTCTGACGCTGAAAGTTAGAATAGTGGGGAGAGCCGATTTCTACGGATCGAGTTACAATGTAAACACATGGTTCGACATTGTCGATGACAAAGGAATGGGACTTCGAAATTAACGTCGGAAAGGTGACCCAGCACCGGTGTCGGAGGTGTTAAGACGTCTGGCCGCCCTGAGCGCTCGCCAGATGGGTACTATTTTTAAAAACAAATTAATTAAAAAATTAATCAAGCAATCGCAAAAATTCATTGCTATTCTTCAGATAATGTATCTAAAAGTAGTGCGTAGAAATTTCAGAGCAATCGGACCGCGCGTTTACTTTTCTTTTGGGATTATCTCGAAACTACATTTTTCGAAATGGTACAACGTAAATCTCGTAAACTATCGGTTCGATTGCTCTGAAATGTCTACACGCTACTTTTACATACATTATCTGAAGAGTAGCAATGGATTTTTGCGATTACTTGATTAGTTTTTTTCTTTATTGACGATTTTTCTCGTGAAATTTCGGTGAAAAATAAAATAAAAATTTCTTCGGCTCACCATAATTTTCGTAATGGTAAAAAAAAAAATCCAATTGTTACTCTCCTGCCACAAACTCCAGAAACAATCTAATGTTTTTTTTTTTCTTTTTTACATGCTACCTAAAGAATATAACGATGGTACAGCTGACGCGCGTTTCGTGCCGAAGGCCTTCACCAAAATTTTCGAACCGCCGCTATTTTTTTTTCTTTTATCTCGAAAAATTTGTCATGTGTTCATTGAACCATTCTTTAGTATGTGTCGAAACATAAGAATATTTTTTTCTATACATTCGCATTTATGAATTTTTTAAGAATAGTACCCATCTGGCGAGCGCTCAGGGTGGCCGGACGCCTTAAGCAACAAAAAACAAATCGATTTTTTGAAAATCCTAGAGTGGTTTTCCCCCTTAAGGCCAGGTTACGCCAATAAAACGTGTTTTTTTTTTAAATAAATTTTGTTTATAGTAAAAAAAGTATTTCAGAATTAAACTTTTTACAGCCGAAAGTACATATATTAAAGTATTTGAAAAAACGAAATTTTTTTTCTCTTTTTTAAATGGCGGCTCTGAAAATGGCTGCTCAAACTCGTCCAATTTGTTGGCGGGTGTTATCATTTCTTGGAAACGAATCGTCTGAAAGCAAAAAGTGAAACGGTTTCATATTCAGTATCGAATTGGTTATGGTCGGTAGTACAACCAAAAATATTCGTTGTTATTTAAAAAGAAGTTATAAACAATTGAAAGTGCAAGAAAAGGGTCGAAAAATTTAAACGTCCGCCATTTCGTTTTTTTTTCGGTGAAAATGTTTCATCGTAGTACCGACCATAACCAATTCGATACTGAATATGAAACCGTTTCACTTTTTGCTTTCAGACGATTCGTTTCCAAGAAATGATAACACCCGCCAACAAATTGGACGAGTTTGAGCAGCCATTTTCAGAGCCGTCATTTAAAAAAGAGAAACAAAATTTTGTTTTTTCAAATAGTTTAATATATGTACTTTCGGCTGTAAAAAGTTTGATTCTGAAATACTTTTTTTACTATAAACAAAATTTATTTCAAAAAACACGTTTTATTGTCGTAACCTGGCCTTAATACCTCCCCTCTAAAATTTCAAAGTTG